AGTTTATTTTCAAACTTGCTTTGCAAGTTCTCCCACACACACATCAAATCGTGAGGAGAAAATCACGTTCCAGTGAATCAAGACGTTCGGATCGTCAACGAGAAGCAACTCGACGGCACGAGCATTCGAGGGAGGCATCTCATCGCCACCGTGAAGAACCCAGTTTTAAACAAAGGGGAGAATCAAATTCATTCTCCTCTCTTGTAATGCGGAATCAAATTGTAATTGATTTTGGAGAGAAATACAAGTCAAATTTTTCTTTCATTGTCTTTCTTACTGCAAATTTCCAACGAACAATAACTAAAAATGATATCCTCATTGGTGCTCTCACCATTTTCTCATCATTTTTACTTTTCATCATATTTTCTCTAAACTAATCAAAGATGAAGCCAAAAAAACTCACAAATATGGCATCATATATGCAATAATTAAAAATGATAACATGTGATAAATTATCAAACTATTTGTTTAATTATTTGGTTCATTTAGCATCCCTAGATGTGTTAGCAATTTTACATAATTTGTTGGACTACTTTTAAAATATTATAGATTTGAGGGACTAATATTAAAATAATTCTTAATTTTTTGTGGGGGTCACTCACTAACAATGAGATATAATCACTTATGTTAAAAATTTTACGATGAAACACATTAGTAATTGGCAAGCGAATCGACGGATTCGATCCGTCACCAATAAGTATTGGCGACGGATCGAATCCGTCGCCAAATAAGTATTGGGCGACGAAAGCGTTCGTGGCGACGGAGCGCATCGGTCCGCCAATAAGTATTGGTGACGGATCGAATCCGTAGCCAATGTTTTCCTGTTCGCGTCGCCAATGCGTATTGGCGACGGATCGAATCCGTCACTAATACGTATTGGCGACAGTCGCCAATGTTTTCCCGTCCGCCCATGGTTATGGGCGACAGGAAAATATTGGCGACGGATTGAATCCGTCGCCAATGCAAACATTAGCGACGGGGTATTGGCGAGCGGGGTTGTGTCTGTCCGTAGCCAATGTTTGTATTGGCGACGGATTTCAAATCCGTCGCCAATACCCTGTCGCCAATGCCCAGTTTTTTACTAGTGCTTACTTGGGTATATTATTAGAATTTTGGTGATGACATTAATTTCTTTGGTAGTAAGTTTCTTAAAATTTTATAATCTGAAAAGTAGTGGCATGTAAAATTGCCTTTTCATTACTGTCAAGCATCACTTTATCCATTTATGCAAAAATAAGCATCACTTCATCCCAAAACTTATCCAAATGTTTATGTACATGAGCACCTCTATCCAATGAGTTTCTACTATTTATTACATGGTGAAAAAGGAGTGAAAAAAGGGCTAGTCATTAATATTTATGACCTTAGCTCTCGTTGAGTTAATATATAAAAATATCTAAGGTGGGTACATATCCCATGGTTTTGTTCATGAAACCTCTGCTTCACTTTTCAGTCTTACTATAGACTGTTTATTCATTAAGAAAATTCACCAGTTGCTCAAAGAAGTTTTGGTTCTCCATCCTCATAGCTTCCTTTGCCTGTTAAAGCAAAAGATTAATAAAGTCAAGAACAAAATTAATACCAAAACCCAGTCAAAATTTCAAAACTAATTTATACAAAGTAAAATATGAAGAAAAGGAAAAAAAGGACTTTTTCAGGAAAGCAAATTGAAATCTAACCTGTAAATGAAGAGAATAGATGGTTTTATCATCATGAGTGGTGAGAGTTGTGGCATTCAACAGCCGAAATCCTTCTCTCTCCAAAATATTCACAACCTTCGAAAACGGAGTAGCAGCACTTTGTTTGTTCAAGATACATATTTGGATCATGATCTCTTTTTTACTCAGAAATACTGCTGAAATCACCGGGTTGATCATTCTTTCTTTGTTACAAATGGAAGAATAATCATTACTAGGCACCCGGGATAGAAGCTCTTCTTTCTTTCGTTGCAACCTTTTTATGTGCTTTTGGAGTTTAGGTATGTATTCCAGCACATGGGCAATTGTACATGGAATACTCAATTTCTTCTGCAGCAAAGATAAAATAAGAAAAAAGATTAGAAGTTGAAACAGACTAAAGATTCTACAAAAAAACTCTTAAATAACGTACTCTTTGATCCTTCTCTGGGAGAAGTTCTCTTAGGGATGAGTACAGCTTGTTTAACTTCTTCCGTCTATCTCTCTCATATTCATTGTGGGTTGATTTCTTCATTGAGTTTGAGAGTTTGCTGGTTTTGATAATCGAGTCTTCGATGTCTTCATACTCGAAATCTGGGAGGTGAGGTGAGGAAATGCTTGAGTTGTGGGATATATCTCCTTCATTAAGGTTGTAGCTAGCAAATAGATCTTGTAGAGGTATTTCATGGATCATATGCTCTTGATCAAGTTGCCAGTCAAAGGTTGGAAAAGTGGTAGGAGAAAGGGGTAACATAGTGGAGGCTTTTCGTCTGAGAAATTTGGGCTTAGACACTTCCAAATATCACTCCTCTTGATATATAATGAATCTTACATATGAAGTCTATGAGAGTAAGGCATGTAAATTGTTAAATTACATATAACTTACATCATGTTTGATTAAGTACTGTAATTGTTTATGAGCCTTTCTCTTCTGTTGCTTTCTAGTTGACATTTGAAGGCTGTCATCTTGACGAAGTTTTTTTTATTTTATAAGTTATTACTGTAGAAAATGGCGATGAATTGTTCGAATTGTTGAAAAACAGTGAAGAAAAACAATACGTGCACAGGAGGAGGCTCATCGGTCGACTGATCGGGTCTGATCAGTCGAACGGTTCGATTGCAAGGAAATTATAGGAGTTTCGGGATGGTCGACAGATGCATTTGACCAGTCGACCGATAAACATATACAAGCGGGAAATTGCCCCGATCGGTCGACCGATGCACCCTTATCGGTCAACCGATAGCGGGTAAACGGGTAAAACTAATCCTAGTCTGTTTTGGATCGGTTTTGATATAAAAAGAAACACGTTTTGTTAGGGTTGTAGTAGAGAGAATTTGGATTTGTTTGAGCACTTTGAGAGGGAGATTATTGTGAGGTAGTGAGAGATTATTGGTTAGGCTTATTTTGAAAGTTTGTGAGAGTTGTAACTCGTTGTTTTCTCCTCCATATAGTGAAATCTCCCCATCCTCTCCCTGTGGACGTAGGCAATTTGTCGAACCACGTAAATCTTTGTGTTTGTGTGTAATTTTGGCCGTTCTTTTGTGAATTGCACTCATTAGTTGTTCTCCTCTAATTGCTCGAAGACTCATTTGGTTTTTACGCACGCTTCCGCAGTCACGCAACAATTGGTATCAGAGCTCTAGGGTTTCAGACTTAGGGTTTATTTTGGGTGGAGGAAATTCGGTGTTGGAAGCTTGGATCTTGGAGTTCAAGGCTTCGGTGGAGATAGCGTTACCGAATTACCATTAGAGATCTCGTCTTCCTCATGTGGTTGGGGTTCGTTTGGAATCCAATCTAGGATTCAAGTCAGGTAATTTCACAAATCTATCAAGTTCGAATCTTTCCCCTACAATTCAGACTTAGCAAACAATGGCGGGAGATAGTAGTGAAAGTAGCAAGACTACGGCGAGTACAGTTCAGGTTACACTTCAGAATACGAAGATCAGTGTTGTGAAGTATGACGACAAGATGAACTTTGGGTTGTGGACGAGTGATGTGCAAGATGCGTTGAATGCTCAAAATTTGGAAGAGACTATTATGACTCATGAGAGGCCACCAAAGTATGATGAAGCGATATGGGACAAGATGAATCAGAATGCTTGTGGGGTGATTAGATCTTGTTTGGAATAAGAGTTAAAGTACGATATTATCGGCGTGATGTATGCGATGAAGATGTGGGAGATTCTCAACAACAAGTATCTTACGAAGAGTGTTGAGAATCAGTTACACTTGTTGAGAAGATTGTTTAGATTCTAGATGTCCAGTGGTACATCACTTGTAGATCATGTGAACAACTACTCAAAGTTATTGTCGGACTTGGCGAATATTGATAAGAAGATATCGGATGAGTACAATGTGATTATTTTGTTAGGTTCTTTACCCGATGAGGAGTATGATACATTCGTGATCACTTTATTGAACAGTAGATCTTCCATTACCTATAGTGAAGTGACTAACACGTTGTAGAATTTTGACTTGAGGAGGAAAGATAAAGAGTCTTCCAGAGCTAGCACTTCAGGAGAGGCCTTGTCGACGAGAGGAAGGAATCCATATCTAAGAGGTGGTAATCTAGGCAAGTCAAAATCTAGAGGCCACTACCAGATTTTAAAGAACCAGTATGCCTTTTGCAGAGAACAATGACATCAGAAGAGAGATTGCCCGAAGCTCAAAGAGAAGGAGAATAGCAAGAAGAAGGGGCCGAAGGCCAGCGAGGTGAATGTTGCTAAAGGTGGTGATGATTCAGATGATTCATACTTTTCTTGATTGATTACTCCAGAGGTTAACCATGCTGATACATCAGATTAGATATTTGAATTCTAGTAGTACTTATCATGTGACTCGCTGGAGAGGTTGGTTTGCATCTTTCGAGAAGCTTGATGGGGGTGTGGTGGTCATGAAAAACGATCAATCCTATGGTATTCATAGGATAGGTACTGTTAGGATTTGGATACACGATGGAGTTGTTTGAGAGTTGAATGAAGTGAGATTTATTCCTCAGCTGAAGAAGAATCTTATTTTTGTTGGAGCTTTGGAGGTAAATGGATTCAATATGACTTTTGAGAACGCTATAGCAAAAGTTACTAAGGGATCTTTGATAGTGATGAAGGCAGTCTGTAGTAAGAATCTTTATTATTTGAAGGGAAGCACTGAGATTGGCCAAGTAGCTTCAGCAGTTTCAGAGGCGAATGAGAGCAGACTTTAGCACTACAGATTGGGGCACACAGGAGAAAAGTTACTACAAGTATTGTGCAAGCAGGGGCTATTGAAGGGAGCCAATAGTAGGAAGATTGAATTATGTGAGCACTGTGTTCTTGGCAAGAAGACTAAAGTGAAGTTCGGGACAGCCATTCATAGGACGACGAGCATCTTGGACTATGTACACACAGATGTTTAGGGTCCTGCCAAGACGGCATCACTTAGTGATTGACATTGGTTCATCACGTTTATGGATGACTATTCTAGGCGTTGTTGGGTGTATACCATAGCAAAGAAGAGTGAAGTCCTAGAAATATTTGTGGAGTAGAAGAGAAGATTGGAACTACAGATAGGAAGAAAGATCGGGACGTTGAGACACGACAACGGTGGAGTGTATACTTCAGACCCCTTTCAGCAGCTATGTCGAGACGAGGGCATAGAGAGGTACTTCATAGTTAGTCATATGCCGCAGCAGAATGGGGTGACTGAGAGGTTGAATCAGTTTTTACTAGAGAAGGTTCGATATTTGTTATCGCACAGTAGATTGGAGAAGATCTTTTAGGCTGAGACACTTTTATATGCGAGCCACCTCATTAATAGGCTGCATTCATCTGTGATAGAGGGGAAAACTCCTATGGAGATATGATCGGGAGAGCCAGCACATGACTATGATCAGCTCAAGATTTTTGGATGCCCTGCATTTTATCATGTGAAGACTAATAAATTGGAACATCGAGCTAGGAAGGTCATATTTGCGGGATTCAAGCGTGGTGTTATAAAGGTTACAAGCTTTGGGATCCAGTTGAGAAGAAGATTGTGCTAAGTAAAGATGTCACTTTTGATGAGGCTTCGCTCTTGAAGCCTTCCAGCTCTCATCAAGTGAAGAGCACCCCGACAGAGGAGAAGTCGCAGATGGTGGAGATTGATACAGCACAGTATCCAGATGGGACTGTATCTATTAGAGTGCTGAATGAGGTGACGTCAGGCGAGCACATTAATGATTTGGAGGATACACGTATGACAGAATAGTATCAGGGATCGACGATTCAGGTTCAATATTCGATTGCAGTTCGGAGACCCAGGAGAGACATACGGTTGCTAGTGAGGTATACAGATATAGTGGTTGCTTATGCACTTCTAGTAGAGAGTGTCAATGAGATGGTTCCTACTACATTCAGAGAGACTGAGCAGAGTTCAGAGGCTGATTTCTGGTAGGAAGCTATGTAGGAGGAGATGTAGTCTCTTCAGAAGTACGACACATGGGAGCTTGTCGAGCTTCCAAAGGAGTGAAAGGTAATTAGTTGCAAATGGGTGTATACTAAGAAGGAGAACATTCAGGGCACTCCAGTGAGGTTCAAATCTAGTGTATGTGTCAAAAATTACCTATAGGTTCCCGCACGTAGTTCGAAATAGAGAAAAAGTGATGAACGCTATTATCTAAGTTAGAGAGGATTATCCAAGTCAAAAAGGATCATCTAATGCTATAAAAAGAAGTGAAGGAACACATGTGAAATGTCAAAATGTGTGAAACAACAAAACAAATACAATCAGGAGGGCTCTAGAGTGACCCACATGAAGAAGTGAAATTTTGACCATGATGAGATTTGAATCTGAAAAATCTTAAAAGACAAAAGTTGTAACTCTCTTCATCATCTTTCCAACGCATCTTGAATCACTTTATTCTAAGGTCAGACTAGAGAGTTAAGGTAAAAATATTGTGAATAGTACAAACTATCTCGGAAAATCTGAGTCACCTCAAATTGACTCGGAAATTCTGAGTCACTTCGAAGTGACTCGCACCCGAGTTAGCTCACAACATGTTTACTGATAAGATTGGCTTCTAAAACTCTTGGTGGTCATCCATAAACATGTGGGGTTAACCTTAAACGTGTGGAAGCTGTTACACAACCAAAAACCCACCTAAACGGATAGTAACGGTTGTTCTTCGATCCTATCCACAAACACGGTATTTAAAATCTATAAATACACCCTACTACCCTCATAAAGATAGATCTAAAGGGAGCCATGAATTTTAGAGGAGCTAGGGGTGAGGCTGTGATAAATTTGAGAGAGGCTAGCAGATCTTGGCAAAGTTCTTTAGTATAAAGAGGGAGAGTTCGAGAGATCTGGGGCTCATTCCCCTTTTCTCCGGATCAAACTTGGTTTTGATCTCAAGAAGAATAGTAATCTTGCTTGGTTGAGATTATTTACTTCTACGATTGATTTCTTTGTAAATTAAGAGCATTGATCTTTTATTCGATCAACCGGATTTGATCCGCGATGGTCCACGGATAAACCCCGGCACATGCAAAGATCCCACACAAACATAGGCTAATAAATAGTTTTTATGTGTTGTTTGATAAAGTTGTAATATTTTATTTTTCATTGTGTAAGAAGATCTTATAAAAAGATTAGCTTTTCTCTTTTTTAAATTTGTAATCGATAAACGATTATAACAGGTTCAATGACAATAAAAAAGGTAATTTTTGACCCAAACACGCTGGCGACCATAGAGGGAGCCAACAGTCTCGCTACCGAGACTGTCGTGTCATAATCAAAGATCAAGA